GGTAGACTGTTGTGATCCCCTGTGTGGCTCTGGGCTCCGTGAGGGCTCAGGGCCCCCCTGTGAGCATATGTCTTCCTTTGGGCCTGGAGCTCCCTGTGGAGCTATAAGAACAAAAAATAGACTCTGGGAATCCAATATAGGCTAATGTGCTCCCCGGTGTGCTTCTGTGCCCCCTGTGGGCTCTGTGCCTCCCCTGTGGGCTCTGGGCCCCCCTTGTGGGCTCTGTGCATGTGGGGAGCTGTGGGGAGGAGGGGAGCTGTGTGCGTGGAGGGAGCTGTGTGTGTGGGGAGGGAGCTGTGTGTGTGGAGGGAGCTGTGTGTGTGGGGAGGGAGCTGTGTGTGTGGGGAGGGAGCTGTGTACGTGTGGAGGGAGCTGTGTGTGTGTGGAGGGAGCTGTGTGCGTGTGGAGGGAGCTGTGTGTGTGGGGAGCTGTCCCACTGCTCACCGGCATAAGTCAGACCAGCCTGAGCCTGACTCCCCTGTAGACCCAAGGACGGGCTGCCTCGCCCCCTCCGTCCCCCTCACCCCCCCCTCCCGCCCCCGCAGGCGCTGGGCTGCATCTTGTACCTGCTGTGCTTCGGGCAGCACCCTTTTGAAGACGGAGCAAAGCTTCGCATCGTAAACGGGAAATACTCCATCCCTGCTGACGACACTCGGTACTCCGTGTTCCACGGCCTCATCCGTAAGTGCCGTGCGCAGGGACCACGGAGGACACGCCTCCTGTAACGTCCCGCGTGGCCCTTTGGCAGCCTCCCTGTGGGCTTTTCCCATCAGTCAGCCGTGTGAGTTACGTGCTCCAAACCGTGGCTTTTGATCATTTTGCTCCGTTCTGTTGTTGCTCTTCATGCTGTGCCCTCGCTTTTAGTCTGTAAGCGAGGCCCTCCGTGGGTCCGTCACCTCCACAAGGGCAGGGGGTGGGGCCCTGAGCGCGCCCTTCCTGCTGCAGGCGCCACACTGAAGGTCAACCCGGAGGAGCGGCTGTCCATCACCGAGCTGGTGAACCAGCTGCAGGAGATCGCGGCTGCCCGGAGTGTGAACCCCAAGTCGCCCATCACTGAGGTAGGGCCTTCCAGGTGCTGCTCGGAGCAGGTTCTTAGAGGCTCCATCTGTGTTAAAGGGGTGACCATTGTGCAGGACGAGTCCCCATGCCCTAGGGACCCCAGGGCGGGGTCACCTGGCAGGAGGGAGTTGGCACAGGCAGACGGCTCTGCGTGTGGGCAGGAGCTAGAAGGAAGACGGCCCTGTCAGACAGCGGCCAGCGCGGGGAGGGTGGGCAGTGGGGGCATAGGGGGGTGGACGAGGCTTGAGGCGTCTGCTCTGGGGCTGCCATGTGTGTGCCGCCAGGAGTTCTCGAGGGCGCAGTGGGGGTGCCGACGGACAGACACAGGACGCTGGTCAGTGGCGCCAGAGCACCTTTCGGTCTTGGCGCTTTCCGAACTCAGGACCCTGATGCAGACACTACCCCCTGCGGGCGCTTCTGCCCAGGCAGTGAGGACCGTGCCTGGGGGCCGGGCCTGGAGCCCGGGAGCAGCCGATGGAGGACTGGCCGGCCTCACGCAGGCAAGAGCAGTGGTGTCTGCGTGCCCTCGGCAACAGGGCCTCCGACTGAGGGGCCTGGCGTGTGCGGTCCCAGCGGAAGGTGTGCCTGCCTGGCAGCCTGAAACCTGCCGGAGAGACAGGGCGGGAGAAAGCCTGGCTGTCCCTCCGCCGTGCCGCCTGGGAAACAGCGCGTCCTGAATGCCCACCACCTGCTCGGCCAGAGAAAGGCAACGGCACCTTGGTTTTACCTCGTGAGCTTTGTGTCGAGAAACCTGAGCTCCCTGACAAGGATGTTCTCTGAGCTGCACCAGAGACTAAGGCCCACGGCTGAGGAACGCACAGGAGAGGAGCCGGCACCACGGCCGTCGAGGACCATGCAGGGTCGCGTCCGGCGCCGAGTGGGCTGGTGGGAAGCTGCAGCCTCTCCCCAGCCGGGCCCCAAGCACCTCTCTGAAGGTTGGGGGTCTCGACTCTGGCCAGCGCCGGCCGTGAGCTCAACTTGTGGCAGGCAGGGCCCTTGCTGAGCAGCCACCCCTCTGGCAGGCAGGCTGCGAGCCACTGGGCGAGAGACTGGCCGCGGTGGGCGTGTGGGAGTGGGCAGGCTGCCCGTGACCCGAGCATCGGCTCGCAGCGCTGTGTGAGCCGCCCTTGGCGCAGGGTTCTCCAGGGTCAGGCGGAGGGGCTGCAGCCAGGAGGGAGGGTTTCTCCCTGCGCAGCGCCGGCGGACTGCGGCTCTGGCCCTGTACAAGCTGAGGCCTTGCTGTTCAAACCCTTGCAGCTCCTGGAGCAGAATGGAGGCTACGGGAACGCTGCCCCGTCCCGAGGGCCACCTCCTCCCGGGGGGCCTGTGAGCAGCGGCCAAGGCGGAGGTGAGTGCACACGTGCAGAGCGCCGGCCCACACCCTGCCTCGGGCAGTTGGCCTGGCCGTGCGAGAGGCTGCTGGTTTGGGTCCCCGAACTGCCTAGAGCTCCCAGGACGGGCGGAGGCGACACTCTAGGCCACGTTGAGGACGGAACTCGGGGGGCGGTGTGCGTGCTAGCGCCCTGTCCTGTGCTGCAGGGGCTCTGAGCACCCTGGCGCCTGGCGTGCGGGGCCTTTGGGGTGGCCTGCAGGGGTCAGGGGCGCAGGTCCGAGTCCCCTGGGGAGAGGCGGGCTCCTTGGGCAGGAGAGAGGGTTGTGGCCATGGCAGAGGTGACTCAGTGGGTTTCCTCCCAGCTCGGTTGCATTTGGTGAGTGAGCTGCACCCTCATCTCGTGGTTGTGGGTGGTCTGGGTGCCCCGTGCTGGCACGCGGAGCTGGTCCCTGAGGAGCCCTCAGCCGGGCTTGGTGCAGCAGGCCCGGGAAGGCTCTGGACGGCCCTGCCAGGCTGTGCTCTGCTCCATGCCCCATCCCCTTGGCCACTCTCGCTGTTTGGGGTGGAATCAGGTTTGTTTCCTGGGGAAACATCTGGGACGAGGTCAGAGGCCCTGTCAGGAGGACCTGCTCAGGAGCTAACCTCTGGCCTGGTCCGGCCGTGCTGCGGTGTGAGGCCTGGGCTGGGTGGAGACCTT